ATGTAACCATCTGAGACTGAAGAAAACACATCCATCTCTCCCTGTAACCCACACATATATTCATACAAACTTTTTTACCTCTCTCTTCCATTGGTATGATGAAAGACTGCATTTGATGAAGAATAAAGATGATTATCTTGTATTTATGGTAATTTTTATTCTACTAACCCTAACCTTTGCAATATTTATTTTAACTATAATGATCTTTTGTAAATAGTATTTTTTGTAGAAAAGGGTTTTGATAATGTTGTTTTGTATAGTTGGCATCTCTGTTAATTTATCAAACATGTGACTAATTAATGAACTGTATAACATCCTCAGATACCACCCGGATTAAGTCAAGATAGCCCAAGATGTGAAGAAGAAGCGTGGTGTGCTGGAGAAGAGTTGTGTGGTGTGTTCTACTCCTGATGGACTCACTGGTTTGCATCTTGCTGGGAGTGAGATCTGAACATAAGAAATTTAAATTTAAATTTTACCATATCCTGTCACTTAATGTTGACTTTCTCCAAATATAAGATTTTCATTATGTCAAAATGTGACCCAAAGTCCCCCAGAGAACTTGAGGTCTGCTCCAATACTTAGTTATTTTACAACTGTTTGCACTGCTTCATTCTGTTGTTCATTCATATGAACTTGCATTGCAACTGCACTTGTAATGTTCGTTGTCCTGTTTATTCGGTTTTATTCAATCTTCGTTAATTTTTATCTTATTGTCTGTTTTACTTTTAATATCCTATTTACGTATTACTTCTAACATCATGTGATGTTTCTTTTATCTTGTCTTAATGTCATTCATGTTTTATGCAAAGCAACTGCTTTGTTGTTTAAAGTTGCTGTACAAATAGACTGGCCTTGCTGTTATTTTTGTAGTTGCGGTAATGAGACGTGTTACGCAATGACCATTGCAGTGATCCATTTTGTAGCCAAAAATTGCATTCTTTATTGCCTTGGAAATATTCACACATCATGGCTTTTCAAGATATTTTGAAGTCTTCATTCAGTCAGGATAATCCATGCAGTGCCAAACATTGTGCCCCGGGGGGACCTGGCTAATGCACCCATGTCTTATGCAAAGTCAAGAACTGACTGCCTCAGAGTAAAATTAAAGGAAATAAGGGCATCGCAGGCTCACATTAAGCAAACTATTCAGTTGTGATGCATTTGAGAACAATTTTTACCACATGATTTTTATGATGCCGTTCAATCTAGTGCTTTCTTTAGCATCTCATCCTGACCTACATATTCTCTACAACAGAGAGCCGCAGAACAGACAAAATGAGAAAGACAGACAGTGACAATGCAGAGAGAAAAAAAATAAGCAGATAAAGTAAGAGATGGAGGTCCCCATACAGTGGAAAGAAGAGAACTGCTGTTGTCTAGCAGCAGAAGTGTAGCATGAGGAGCACAGGATGTCATGAAATATGTAGGAAGGAGCAACTCAGCACCGGAACACAAAGCCATTAAAGAAAGCCCTGGAAAACACAGTCAGCTAGAAAAATCTAACTGTCCATTTCCTTATCGCGCACAGATACACAGACAAAAGCACATACACACTTTCATATTCACAATCTTGCATTCATGCATCTCACTTTAATGTCCTCAGACGTGTACACAAAGTTCAACACACTCCTGTGCTCTCAAAGACACAAGCACACAGGTATACATGCAAGTGAGCACTATCACCAAGAAACAGACACAGCCTCTTCCTCTCTTCCTCGTTCCTTTTTTTTTTTTCTCTCAGTGCACTTAACGGTGTTTTGTAAATCATTGATTGGGTACATGTTGAGGATCAGCAAGACAGTTAGTTTGACATGCAGCGGGTGCTATCGGTCTTTCAGGGTCAAACAACAGGGCCCAAGCATCTGACAACTTCTTTTGAAGGCAGCTCAGGATAATACAAGGTGCTGCTCGGAGCTGCGTTCACTCACTGCGCTCGCAACTCTGTTCATCTCACCAGGTTACCAACAAGCTGATGATGCTTTGAAGGATTTGGTGAAATGTTGAGGGTACAATAAAATAGAATAATGTCAATCCATACAACATAGCAATACATGTTTGTATGCACTGTACTTTATTAAATGTGTGTGGTTTGAGAATTATGAGTTATACTTTGGCAGATTCACAGGACTTTACTTTTACATCTCTGGCAGCAGTTGGAGCTCAGGGCTGGAGGGGCCCAGGAGCCAGGTATGATCCACACTGCAGGCCCACAGGATCTAATTTGTTTGAGGAAACAAGGGAAATATATTTTCCTTTGTTCAGGCAGCCAAAAACGGTTTCAATATTAGATCTCAAATGAGTCAATAGTTAAAGGCTTCTATCCATTTACTGGATCCAGTCATCAGTTTTTATTCCTTTCATGTCAGTTTCCCAGCTGGCTGGACTTCTGTTTGAAGGTGGTGGTTTGTGCATCAGTTCCTTGTGGGCTACAATGAAGTCCTGCATTACAAATCCAAGGCTACATGTCGTGTCAGAAACACTGAACTACACTTAATGTTGCCAGCTACAAAATGATCAGAAAGCCACTGTCCAGAGCTGCAGTTCTGGGAAGGCAACAACAAAAAAGCCACCCAAAACTAATAAATGATGAATGGAAAACACCAGTTATTTCACTGTACGCTACAACTCCATCTCTCCATCTCTTTTGCTCATGCAGATATTAAGTCATGATCTTGGCCACACCTTCATCAGTCTGCTCTTATACTGAGAATACAACGGCAGCAGTTCATATACATGCAAACATCTCAGGCATACATCCTTGTGCTGGTTTCATTCCCTGGGTGGCAAACTGAGCTGGATTTTGACATGAGAAGACAGGTAATAAACAGAAGTGCTTTTTGTTGGGGTCAAGTTACTCTTTAATCAATAAAAGTACAGGACTGTGACCACCTGAGTCATTTTGAAAGAATAAAAAAAGATTATAAATTAGTTATAGAAAACCTTTTTCTGTCCCTCATATTGTCTTAGACTCCAAAGGATATTTCATATTATAATGTAGTTTTATGCAGATATGAGGACATTTAAAGTATTTATAAAGGAGGAGTTTTTGTTGACAAATCTATTAATGAAAGCATATATTTCCTTACAATGACATCATAATGTCTTATAAAGCATCTATGACATATTTTATACGGTGTATGAGTACTTAATATAGGGACTTCTAGTAAAGTGTTAGCAGAGAGTAAAATCTTGTCTTCCTGTAAAAACCATATATTTCCAAATAGTCTGCTTTATAAGACTTCATATGAATAGCCTGGTTTTAGCTTGACAATGCAGCCACTTATCAGCTGTGGGCTATGTGAGTGACTTTCTGGGCTGTAGGGCAGGGACACTTGAAGACAACATGGTGGGAACAACATGTATCATCATCTCATCACATAAGCAGACAACAGAAGTGAGAGCACACAAGAAGGTACGACTGTCTGCCTCACACACGCACACGCACACGCACACGCACACACACACACACACACACACACACACACACACACGATTGCAATCAATAACCCAAACAGAGGTCCTTCCTGTCCTTGTCATCAGTTCTATTATCACCACCACACCCATGGAGCTCCATCATTTCTACTGCTATGAAATCAAACTTCATCTCAACTTCCCTCCATGCGGGCCACATCTTGCATGGACCCAACACAAATGCAGGGAGCACAACTGAATATGTTTTTTTTCCTCCCCTCTCCGCTACATATCTCATACAGGCAGTATGGAGCAAAGCATGCAACCTCTCCAGTAAATCACAGCAGCGTGGAAACTAGAAAAGCAATACGCTCAAAATGGTCTATGTCCAACAAAAATGACGATGCAGTGCTGTTACAGCCTTCAATCTAGAATGGTTTTAATTGACCGATATGATGAAATTCATCTGCTGCGTCCACGTGATTTTTGCAGTAATCACAGAGCACAATGCATGAGGTGGATGAGGCTTGTCGTCTACCTGGATGCTGCAGGAGATCTCGGAGTCGTCCAGTAACCGGATCGTACAGAGGATCTCCTGGTCCAAGGAGCGGATGCTGGGGCTGCGAAACCGGAGCATTTTCATCCTTCTGTCGGTTCTGTTTCAGCTCCTCATGTCAGCGGATCCTCAAGCAGAGCAGACGCACTCGTACCTACAGGCTACATACACGGAGGACTCACGCACACACACGTTCACATGTATGTGCCTTTCAGTCGGGTCTTGTCACCCCTTGCGACGCCCTTGGAAATGAATGGGTGGATGGAGAGATGGGTGGATGGATAAGAGAATGGATGGATGCAACAGAGCGGGAGGGAGGAGAGCTTGCATCCGTCTCCTGCCTGCCCACTGATGAATCTACAGGAGGGAGGATGGCTTTTTCCCTTCTCCCTCTCCCTCTTCCTCTCTCTCTTCCTCTCTCTCTCTCTCTCTCTCTCTCTCTCTCTCTCTCGCTCACCCCCACTTTTTTTCTCTCTCTTCCCATTTTTTAATCTCTCTTTCCAAATTTCAGTATGGACCTTCACATTGCAGTTATAGTCCCATTTGTGTCAGATTGCCAGATGGTGATTGTTAATCACCTGCACAGTGGAATTTGAAATATATCCTTTGACAATAACTTAATGTTTTCATCCATCATAAAAAATCATATTTACTCACTGATTTTATGCGCCATACTCTTCCGAGTTTAAATGATGAAACAAGCTATGAGTTCTGTCTGCAGGCATGATTTTTATAGACTATTGATTAAATAATTATGTAAGCTATAACAGTCATATGGGTGGAAAAAGACAGCAACTTATATTCATCTTTATTGCCTTTAAGTTGTGCATCTACGTGTGAATTAGTGTAAATGTCTATGTTACCTATTAGATTTTGAGAAACATATCACATTATGCCTTGAACGTCATTATTTTCATCAGTAATGACGTCTAAAGCAATTTGGCTGCTACGTAAAGAGCTAAAGAGAGACCGCGGCCCCTTTAATTGGGAACGTAGCTGACGTTCTTCGTGCGTCATCGCGTACTTTAGCAAAACAACCCGCGGTCAAGGTCCATGAAGTACTTGATGTAGGAAAGAGATGTAAGTCACTGATTCAGCGAGCATTTCTCAGACTTACAGCTCTTTTTTCAGCAAGATGAGGGTTTTGTTTTGCTAAAACCAGACTGTACAAGTTCTTATTGTTTTAGTCAGCGGCTGTCATGAGATGAAACATGATTAGTGGTAGGCTGGCTGCACCTGAGCAGGGTTTCCTTATGCTATTAGTTAACTGCACGAGTTAAGATCCCAGTAGTTACGGCAACACAACCAATTCACAATAACAGTAGGTTGCATCCACTGGTGAAATGTGACTGTGTTTACTCTGTACGTGGTACCTGCACTCATGCCACTTTATACTTTTACTACTCTACAGTTAAGAGGGAAATATTGCACTTCTTTTTTCATCATTACATTTATTTGAGCGTTTTCAGTGATGGAAGAAGTTAATTTTAGCTACTGGAGTAAAAGTACAAAAGCACTGGTAACAAAATGTACTTGAAGTATCAAAAGCAAAAGTAGTTATTGTGCAGAGTACATTTTTCTGATTATACTTACATACTTTTATATTTCCAATGCAGGACTTTCTGACAGTGGAGTATTTTGATTGTGGTATTACTACTATTGGTAACATCACATGAGCACTGATGTTATTTCTACACATTTCTACGGTTGAGAGGATAACACGTGTAAGATTTCTTGCCAACAGTTAAAAATGGATTTTTCTTCTTCTTTAATCCAGTTCAGGATAGGATCTGCCTTTGGGTGTCTGAAGATTCACAGAAAGATGATCTACATTGTAATGGGAGTCTCGGGCTGTGGAAAGTATGTATACTGTCTTACATGCATATCAGTTTATTTAGGACATAAGAAGCACATTGAGAAGAGCATAACCAACATTTTTAAGTTTATTGAGTCACATGAAGAAAAAGAAACGTTTACGATTGTTATCAGGAAGTGGTTGTTTATCAAATATTAATGTCTCATTACATAATTGGTTACAGTACACAGGTATCTGTTACAAGTTCACTTAAGCAGCTGCAGCACAGACCTGTAAGGGACGTAACTTAACACCAAAGTAGTATAGTGAGACTGCAAGTAACAATTAGTTTCATTATTTAAAAAGCAGCGCATTTCTTTCTTGCTAAATCGCTTAATTATTTAGTCTATAAAACGTTGGTGATGAGGACTCAAATTGCTTGTTTTGGTTGATCAAACATCCAAAACCCAAAGATATTCAATTTACTATTACATAAGACATAAAAATAGAAAATCAACACAAGTGAGAAGGTGACACTAGGTAACGTTTGGGATTTTTGGTTGAAAATTCACTTCAACAATTCATTGTGTAGTAAAATAGCTGCTCCATTCACTTTTATTTTAGCTTTAAACTGTAGCATATCTATGACAGTACAGTGTTGGCTTAAAGCTGTAGAGGTGTCAGATTAAAGTATTTTTTGTAACTTTAAAAAAATAAGTATTTCACTGCATCTCTTCTGTCTTGTTACTTTTCTCATACAGAAGCAGCTTAGGGGCTTTTCTTTCAGAAAAGGTAACTTTCTACACACATATACCTCTCCAATCATGCTTGTACCCACACATTACCTCATCCTCACCTGTCTGTGTGTTTCCATTCATCAGCTGGGCTGGCCTCTGTATGAAGGGGATGACTTCCACCCACAGGAGAACGTTGAGAAAATGGCTCGGGGCGAACCGCTCACAGACAAGGTCAGCCTATGCGTGTGTGTCCCTGGAGTGCTGCACTCTTTCTCTTCAGTCATGAGTAAATCATAGCTGCAGACATAGGACACAGTGAAAACAGCAGGGAGGAAACTGAGCTATTCCTAACAGCCCAGAATCCTAAAATTCAGTTGAGTCATTTATTTTTATTTGTTAAATATTTATCTTTTCCTCGTTCATGCTGACTTTCAAAATAAAGGGAGACCTCCAAACAATTGACTGGCTGTCTCCCAAAAGATGAGTATACATGCTTACAGGCAGAGCAGCGGCAGCCAACATTTGGCAGCCGTTTGCTGGTAGCGGTGTATGGTGGCTGATGATAACCTCCCACTCAGAAATCTGTGCTGTGTGGCGGGGGGAGTTACCCTGGGACCTGCTCTGTCCAACGCTTTGGCATATTTTAAAAATACTCAACAGTTGGCAGTTTGAGAATAAATAATGAAGTGAACTAGAAATGTAAATTCAGGATTACTGTCAGGCTGTGGGAAAAATGTGTCTTTCGTGCCAGTATCAGAGTTGGCAGGTTGACGTTGGCATAACCAAACAGGACATGAGTGTGCTCAGAAGCAGAGATATAAGAGAATGTGATTCCTCTCATTTGAGTTCAGCTCTTCATGTTAAAGACATTGCTGTATGAAAAAAAATGACTCCAGTTCATTTGTAACCAAATTGTGACTGATTCTGTTTCTGATCTCAGTGTAATCAAAGATGTGTTTGTGCTGCCATGTCTGTCTGTCATGATCTCTGTTTGATTTCCTGATTGGTTCTTTAAAAGTCTCTTTGAGTTAAGTCCATTAAACAGAAAATATTGGCAACTTGGAATAATTTGCTTCACCATAAATACTTCTTCAAAGCTTCTGCTCCATTATGCTCACTGCAACTATGCATGTAGTTATCATAAAACTATTTATACCTGAATGTAGTATTTTCTGAGGTGCATAGGTTTGAGACTAACCTTCAGTCTGATGACGCAGTCTGGCTTCCCCATTGCGGGCTCGGCTCGCCCTGTGATGCTCTGCAGTGTCCGGCTTGCCTCTCTGGCGGCCACTGATATGCTGAAACCAGGAGTGTATGTGATTGGATTCACCCACCCACTTGTATTAAAGGGCAAAGCCAGAATCACTTTTCATGCTAGTCACCCCAAAAGTGAGACGGTGCCTTCTCTCACTTTGCAGGAGCAAGAGAAGTTTTCCCTAAGATTTATTTTCCTTTCGTAACTTCATTTTGTAAGAGAGTCTACGCTGCATTATTTCTCAAGCAAAAATCACAAAGATTTAGAACAGTTCTATTTTTTTTATCATTTTTGGGGAATTTATTTCTGTTCCTTTATTGGACAGTAGAGAGACGACAGGAAATGAGAGGAAAGAGAGAGATGGGGACTGACATGCAACTAAGGTCGTCAGCCAGATGCAAACTGGTGCAGTTTGCAATCGGCGCTTTAACCCCTAGGGTGCCCCTGAATATTTATTTAAAAGGTAAAGACCTGTATCTTTAGAAAACAATAAATCTAAAAAGAAAAAGTAACACACCAGCATTCCAAGGTGCTACAATCTTAAAACATGCTGTTTACAACAAAAATAAATCCTGTCATTATGTTGTTCAGGACAGATTGCCTTGGCTTCTCAAACTACATGAAGTCATTCAGAGGTAAGAGTAATACATGTGCACACACACACATAGATTATTACACACACACTTGCCTGGAAAACACAAGATAGTTTTTAGTGACAGAAAAGGAGAAGATGATGGGTTTAGAGAGTGAGAGGGAGCTGAAGAGCAGACAGCAGCGAGGTAAGGATATGCAGGCGTGAAATTGTCAAAAAAGATCAAAAATATCAAGGATGGTTTTGAAAATTGAGATGAAAACCAGAGAGCGAGGGAAGGGAGTTAGGGAGAGGAAAGACAGACTGAGTGAGTGAGAGAGTCGAGAAGAGGTGAAGTGAAAAGTGTGCCATCTCTTTCTTAAGACGTCTGCAGTGACATCAAAGACTTCTTTTACTTAACTCTTTCACTCAGTCACACTTATTTTTCTCTATCTGCTCATCCTTGCACCCCTCCTTTTCTTTCCACCTCCTTCTTCTCCCAAGCTGTTAATGACCAGAGTTCACTTTACGTTTGTTTAGTTTGTTTCCCTACTGCTTTTTTTGTTATGCATACAACATTTCAGTGTTCATTCCTGCCCTCAATAACTGTCTGTATATGTGTTTGTTGTTCCACCCCAGGGAAAGGTGTTCAGGCTCTGATGCTGTTGTGGTGTGCTCTGCCCTGAAGTGCCTCTACAGACAGATCCTGCTTTATGGCTCCAAAGCCCTCACTTTCTCTTCCAGTCCAGACCAAGAAATCCTGCCTCCCATTGCTGCTGATGTCTTTTTTCTCTTTCTACATGGCGACTATGATCTCATTCACCAGAGGATGATGTCCCGAAGGGGACATTACATGAAAGCAGACCTGCTGCGTTCCCAGTTTGATGTTTTAGAGCCTCCGTTGGAAGGGGAGAATGTGTTGTCACTGGACATCAGGAGGAGCATTACTGATATGGCCATGGAGGTCGAAAAGCACATTATTGGCCTAAAGTCCTCACCAGTGATGCCATAACCACCACAGCAGACCAAAAGAGAGTACATCATCATCATTACATTTTCATCTGTTTTTAGGGATGGCAATGTCAGTCTTCTCAGCAGGTTCACCACAGACTGAAATCTCAACACCTACTGGACAGATATTCATGGTGCCCATAGGAGGAAGCCTCTGACTTTTCCTCTAGCGCCCCCGGCAGGGCTAAGATTTCACTTTTTTGTTGAAATATTCCAACACCAACATCTACTTCATGGATTGGCACAAAAGTTTGTGCAGACAGTTATGGTTCCCAGATGATGAATTTTCATGACTGGTGATCCCTGATTTTCTTCTAGTCCCACCATAAGGTTAACATTTTTGGCTTTTATTAAAGTACACTAGAAAACAAAATTGATTACCCCTCAATATCACTAACACGTTAAATGATTCAAAATTGTACCATCTTACAATAATTGTATTATTTTTCATTTGAAGTGAAGGGTATTGATCTTGCCTAATTAAAAAAGAAAAACGGTTAGCTGGACTACATCCACTACAAGCCAAAACAACCTCAATGCAACAAAAGTGATGACACCTGTAATTGTAGTATGGACATTGACTCACTACAGAATGGATTGTAGTAAGTGGTAATCCCCTGACCTTTCTTCTAGCGCCATCACCAGGTCAAAAGTTTAATTTGTCAAATACTTCATGTTTGTGACCAAATACATGCAAAGTAATGACATTTCCATCATCCTCAGCTATACTTTGTGTTTAGTGCTAATCAAATGTTAGCACGCTAACACCCTAAACTAAGATGAAGAACATGATAGGGAGATTGCAGTGCCTTTGATAGCATGCAAACATTCACATTTAGCTCAAAACACCACTGTTTCTAAGTAGAGCTTCTCAGAGCAGCTAGTGGACTTTTCATCTTGTTATGATCCAACAATCATGTCCAGTCCTCATTCAGTCCATATCTCAGCGAAGGTGAAAGGGAAATCACTGTCACCATGGAGGTGCAAAATCACAGAGCAGCTTGCGGAGCAGTGGGAATTTTGGTTTGATCTACTCATTAGCACTTCAGTAGAGAATGAAGTACATAATCTGTGTGATCCTGGGGTGCATCTGTGATTCTGAAAACAACTCATTAGCTGAAAACTTTGCAAACACGGCCTTAAGTGCCGTTCCAGCATATGCAGCAGAGTGTTGGGACCAAAAGGGTCGTTTTGTTTTTATGTTTTTTTGTATATAATATAATTTGCCACAAAGAAAAAAGGTCCACCTGTGCAGCTGAAGAGAGAGAGAGTATTAGCTCTTATGAAGAGGATTGTGGAAGTATTGTAAAAGTTTGCACTATGAAGATTCAGTGTTTTCACAGTAAGTTGTTATCTAATATCATCTTATATCTTTGATGGCATTATAATGGAAAAATAGCAAGGGAACATTTTTAATTGAAAAGAATAAAACGCAAACACGTTTTAAAAGAAAATTAACCTGACCATGCAAAACACATATAAAAGGTCTTTACTGATAAGATGAGCTTGTATGAATTTTGTTACAGTTTGCAACAGATGGGCAACATTTACAGAGGAAAATTGGCTTTTGGCTGCAACTAATAGTAATTTTCAGTAATGATTAATTTGCCTGTTTTTTTTCTTGGTTTACTGATGAACCTTTTGGTCTATAAAATATCAGCAAATGGTGGAAAACTGATCTTTAATAGTTGAACTAAATGCATTGCAATGCAAGCTGTGAGTGTACATTCTTTTTTTTTTTGATTTGTCTGTCAAACTTTCTGAAGCCAACCCAAAGATATTTAGTTTAATCACAAATAAAATCTTCTCAATCCAGAAGCGGAAATTTATCTCTGGAAATGTTATCTCGGTTTTGCTTGAAAAACTGTATCAATTTCAAAGAAGCTGACGATTAATTTTTATGTTGTGTAACAAATTTATCGACTTATCACTTCAGATATACAGAAAGTTAATTTATATGTTTGTATAACTTTGTCTCAGGTCGGTTTAGAGGAAAGCTAACTGGTGAAAAGGAGAATCCACAGCCTGTGTAAGCACATATGTCTCTGCCACCAACTGTATTGACTCACCACTTCTGCTTCACCTAACACGGATTTTAACACTGGGTTTAAATGACTTTGTGTGATCTTTTCCATTTTACCTTCAGCATTACAGGTTTCTCACCTGTTCCTAAATAGACTTGTAAAACGTTTTGTAGCTTTGCTGAAGTTCCTGACAACTCTGCATCAGTGAATGGGTTGGTTTAGAAGCAAGAAATTGCTTTTATGATATCATTCAATCTGTCAAACTAACTTTCATGCTCTGACACCAAATGCACCAACCAATCTTACAGCACAATCTTCACACTGAGTACGATAAAGTCAAACGATTAAGGGGGTTTGGATTGAACACAATCACTGCTACACATCGCTGTGCGGCAGGCTTCTTCTGACAATAGAGTCGTAACATATAAAAGGTCAGATCAGGTCAAGGCTTTGTGAGCCCTGTTTCCTGATCTGTAAGCATCTTCAGAATACACACGCATGTTCCCACACTCTCTTCACACACACACACACACACACACACACACACATCCACTCAGCACTGTAGAGCTGTTTTTGTGGTGTGACTCATCTTCAAACCTCAACCCGAATATTTTAGGAGCTTCTAATCCAGAAAAACCCCCTTGGCTACTCTCATATCTCACACATCCAGACGAACCGGCGCACACACACTGCAACACACACACACTAGTGGAGATTAAAACCCCCTCAGTCTGGCAGCAACAGACATACGCACACAGGTTGTCAAGTGGATCACATACACACGTATCTGATGTCGTAGTGCTTGTTTGTCTGTAATCCACTAGCTCTCTGAGAGAGAGGACACTAAAGCAGCAATAGAAAACAGACAGAAACCCTCACACAACTGTCCACACATCCATATCTTATCATTCACATTAGTAGCTGAAAATCACCTCTAAATATGACTTTGTGATTGTGAGGTATTAGTTTCAATAAGTACATTACATAACAGTTTTGCCAGTTGGTATGTCAGATCATCAGTGCTCAACAACACTGCTGATGTCAACATGTAGATACAGATTTCAATCTCATACTTTGCGCTGAAGGTAAACGAGAATAATAACAAATTAACCTAAAAAAAGGCAACGTCAAAAATGTTTTGTTGCTGCATAATTCCAGCTGTACAAACCAAAATAGCTGACATAACTGAAAAAAAGTTAGGTGTAACTGCCCCCTGGTGTTTATAGTGGAAAAGTTCAATCTTAGATATTATTAGCAGAGGGAGTAGCGTGGTAACTTATGTATATGAAAAATAGTAAGATTTTTAGTTATTGTAAATATATATATATAAATGAGTACGCCAGTTTGTGTTTGACTTATGTCTTTATTGAAACTGTCAGGTTAAGCTCTGTGACCTCTACACCAACTCTGGGTACATCATTGTGTTTACAGCTTCTCAAATTTGAGGAGTTGCTCCTATTCTATTTGACATAAGTGTAACCTGAACATCTTCTGGATGTCGGTCTACTAGCTGAACAAAACAGGTAATATGAAGCTGGGCTCTAGGAAGTTGTGATAGATATTTTTCCTATTTAGTGACATTTTATAGCCTAAATGATTAATATATTACTTGTAGAAGAAAAATGTCGACAGATTAATTAATGATGAATATAATCATTCGCAGAAGTCCTAAAAAACTGCTGTTGAATTAACTGTATTGTTAACCCTAATGCAGAACATCTGTATTACAACAACCACTGCATATTTACATGATTGAAAGAAGACATAATTGTGTTGACAGACTAAAAAAGACACTGAAAGAAAAAGTAAATAACAGAGTGGCATTCAACACCTTTTACTGATTACATCAGCATCCACAAGTCAGCAAGATGAATGACAGTATGTTGCTCAGTTGTTGTTTAGTTACATCCAGAGGGATATAAAATGCACCTGCTCCATATGACACACTACTCCTGTAGCATGGTGCATTTCAGCTAAGTTGAAGAAAAGCTAAAGGAAAGAACATCAAATCCCAGGCATTACCGGTCAGTGCAGTGGAAAATAGTTAGGCACAAAGGTTTTCAAAGAAGTGGCTCACGTATGCAAAGTAAATCATCATTATTATTATCATAAATTGTGTCGTCATTATTTTTGTTCAGTTCTGGACATTTTTTTGTGAGAATGTTGTGGAGATTATTAGTCCTGCAAATCTGAGTTTCTGTGCCTGTGTCTCCTCAAGATATACAATGCCATTCAAACACTTCTTCCTTTTGCACAAAGTCCACCTCTGCATTTTTAAACACATCTTTTGGAGCTGAGTTTACCTTTGGAGACAAACTTTAGAATAATCTAGCGTGCTTGCCGTCTGCACAGCCTGTGGTGGACAAGATACAAGAGCAGCAAGGGAGATCAGGAAAACAGCACTCAACAGAAGATGCTCCTGGTTCAATCTGAGAGTGTGAATCTGCCGTGAGCGTCCAGGACATCTGAGTGTCTCTGGGTGTTAAAAGCTTTCATTGGACTCAGGTGTCCAGGTGGTAGAGTGAAAAGAGGCCTGAGGTTCATAGTGCGTCTGCACAGAGATTAATAATACATGACCTACCTCTGAATATTTATGCAATTGCTACAAGTATAAGGTATGTGAGGTGGACTTAAGTACCTGTACTGACCTGCACCAGTGCATGTCACTGATACAGTGACAATGATTGTAGTCTTTTTTTTCTACCTTAATATTAACTCAAAGCATTCACTCTGGAAGGACAAAATGGAAGGTGTTTATGTTTTCTCAGTTTTCACTTCATAAAAACCAAATAAATTCATGTGTATTATGTATTATGTTTTTATGTATGTATTAAATGTATTTATCTAGCCCAAAGCCACATATTTGCCTCAGGGGGCTTTAAGATCTGGTCACCATATGGCATCCACTATCCTTCAATTCAGATCAGGAAAAACAAGTGTAGAGCATAGTATAGTGAAGGTGACTGTGATGCCAAGACTGAATATCTTTTACTACAGTGCCACTACTACTACTGCAGACAGAGGTTAGTATGTGAAGTTAAGGAATGAATATAAGTATGTCTTTGAAAGTGCAGCAATATAAATAAGACTTGCATGTCTTTAGTGTTTGATTTTTGTAAAGCACTTTGTAATTGTTGATAATGATAAGTGTCTGCAAATGTTAGTACCTGTGCATTCACTGTATGTATGTTTATGTGCACAGAATCTGTGTGTGTGTGTGTGTGTGTGTGTGTGTGTGTGTGTGTGTGTGTGTGTGTGTGTGTGTGTCAGAGACCAAGCAGATGTTGTATAGCAGTGTTGAGGTCTCCTCCTGTGCTGATGAGGGCCTGAAGGTTTGCCTGTCTGTCTCTGAAGCCCATTGAGCTCAGGTGCTCCAGCTCCTCCTGGAACTCAGCCTCCTCATGATGGACCTGACATGACAAGACAGGAGAGTTATTTGAAGTCCTACCTATTACATTACCATGATTGCAAAGAATTAGCAAAGATGTCTTGTGTCTGGGAGTGAAAATATGACATACAATGTGACAAACTTCACATGTGTCTTTTCTAATCATTCTGGAGATCATGTGGCCTATTTATTTTAATGGCATATCTTTCATGTCTTATTTGAACACACTGAACAAATGCATGTTGGGACCATAGGTAACAACACTGACTTCTTTTCCAGTTATGTGAAAAAACTTAAAATAACTCAACATTAGACTTTGGAAGAAAAGTGTAGCTGCACTGGCCTCTGTGGGTTGAAATGCATCCTGAACCTTTGACCACACCAAACATCACAGCTGGATGTCGCCTAATGTGGTGCAGTTTGTGGAGCAAGGACGTCATCACCAGTCAGTGCAAGGAGGACTATGAGAGTGGATGAAGCTACTCTCTACATGAGGTACTGTTAAATTGTGGTTTCTACAGTGAGCACTGAACCATTGTAAGTTCAGTATTAGGGAAATGTTGTTGTCTCATAAACTTTCTTTTTGTGATAATAATAAGAAAGCCCAGCATTGTAAAGAGAAGTTTCCATTGGGCTTTTCACATTAAAATGCTATTTAGTGGAGATATTTCAAATTCAAAAGCAGTTCAAATTTACAGAAGTTGACAACAAGGTTATATAGGAAAGACTGAGGTACCACATTATTGGTGTTAGCCAGTGCCTGTAGCATCTGTTGCACAAACTGCTGCTGCTGCTCTGTCACCGTGGCAACCTGAGGACCATTTCCTGATTGGCTGTTCGGCACAGAGTCAGATGCAAATTCAGGGGCAATATTAGCATTGGCCCCAATGTTTCCGAGTCCAGTCCTGCAAGAAGATATGATATAGCTTTACTCGTGAAAAGTTTTATAGTATATTCAAAACACAGATCTTTTACCCAGAAACCAGACCACCAGGACAAAATCTCTTTAGGTTGAGCTGTGCTGTCTATTTCTTACTCACGCAGGTATGAGGACGGGAGCCTCTGCAGCCAGAGTCTGTAGGCCGTGCTGGATCTGTAGCACAGCCTCCATGGCTCTGGGGTTCAACATGGCTGTGAGCAGCTCCGGACTCTGCATCTACACATAATTCACAATCAATAATTAAAATATTAATGATAAACACTGTGAACAATGAAGTCTGCGCACTATAGATATCAGGAAGGAGTGATGTTCAAGTAAAAAGTCAAAGATGAATGCATTAAATACAGGACATCTTTATCATAATATGTGTTTCAGTTGCAAAATGGCAGTAGTGGAGAGTAATAGTGAGGAGAATAAACAAACCTGTTGCAGGAAGAGAGGGAGCTGCTGTCTCATCTGCTGCTGCAGCTGAGGATTCCCTGAGAACAAAGGGTGGCTCAGCAGTATCTGAAAGCAGAGCAGTATGGACTATAAGACCTGTCTGAGTGAGCAGAGATTATGGGGATATGTTAACAAGAAGTACACTGGGGGATTGTAGCCTCGTTCCAGACCTCTGATTCGCAGCCCACATGATTTTGCAGCCATTCAGATGCTCATAGCAATAGCAAAACCTAAAAAAACAAGACCAGGTCAAAGCCGAGTATATGGCTGAACTATGTTGTAGGCTATTTGCATTCTGCCGGTTTCAGCCCTTTGTCTGTTTGCTTCTCTCCTAGTCTCTGTGCTCACATAAACAGTATTTTAATGCAGCCTTTGGGCTCACAATGCTCAGGTTAAGTGAACTGCAACGCAGATTTGAAGCAAACCGAACTGAGATCATTTGATTCAAATGTGCTTTGTTGGCAACACTGTAGGCTGTAAACGCCCCCCTTATAGAAACTGTTCGCACCAATTCATTTTAAAAGAGCAACAGGGAAACTGCAACTCAGTCACATGGCATTCGGCTGACCAACGGTGGAATTATGGTCACTCAGTCAGTCACTCACAGACATTCGTGATAATATGGCTCGTACTGCTTTTGCCGTCCATCCAATAACTACTGGCTCAGCACTGGTGAAAATGAGTGATCTGCCACCTGTCATGTGTTTCCTGTCATAAATTGTGCATGCGTCACCTGTGCAGCCAAGTCAGGGTTCTGGCTGAGGCAGTTTAGAAGGCTGCTGACGTACGGCCCAGACAGCAGGTTCTCCATCAGACCTGGACTGGCTGTGATCTCCTCCAGCAGTGACTGCATGCCTGAGGCAGGGGGGAGGAGAGCGCAGATACAAAATGAAAAAAAAGCAGGTTGAAATGTATAATTATAGTTAAGCTGATTAAAACTGATGATGGGCAGAGAGTACCAACACCTTTAAATTAACTTGAAATACATCAAAGGACAAAAAAACAAACTGAGAAATCCAGAGAAAGTACACGTTATGATTGTAGTTTGGCATGGATTCTACTTTTTCTCTTTCTGTAGTTAAAGCAGGTGGATGTGTATTTTCTTGCCTGCAGTATTAGTGCTCTGAGAGTTTGGATCAGCTGTGGGCGAGGCAGTCACTTCTCTGAGAGGATCTGTGGAGTGACTGGAGGATGGAGGTGTCTGGTCTCTTTCTCTTATTGGTGTCTGTCGAATCCCAGATGATGCAGTCACCACTGGGGGTACTCCTGTCTGGGTCTAAAAGAGAGAGCATTAACAAACAGTGGGTTAAAATACACAATATTACTTTGACCTCATATAGAAAGATAATTCAGGGAAACATTAGCTGCAAAGACTACGTTCCTGTGTTTTCACCTCAGTCTTCTGAGGTCCAGCCGAGTTATCAGTGATGGTTTCATTGTCTAATGCTCTGTCTTCATTACGCATCACTTCCTCTATCAGGTCAGGATTCCTGACGAGTTCCAGCACCTGGAAACAGAAGCAAGAGAAAAAGATATTGAACATATGGGTGGGAGAAATTAATAAAGGAGGGACCAACTATGTTCAAGTCAGTAAAATGAAGAATGACCTTTCTTTTTCCTTTAACAGATTCATGTCACACATATATCACAAATCCTAAAGCATATTTAGAATAGCACTTCATTTTTCTTTTAATAAAAACTCAATTTCCTTCATGGAAACTTGCATATTTATAGCAGTGCATTTTTGCATGTACACGTTATAATGCCAACTTATCCCAAACTACACCCACCTGTGTGATGATGTCTGTGTTGTTTATCATGTCTCCCACCTCTGGGTTTGTTTCTAGGAGCTGCTGAACTTGGGGATTGGACAGAATGAGCTGTCTGGTTATTTGGGGGCTGGAGGTGGAGAGGGTGCTCTGCACGAGGGGGCTGCACAGAACAGAGTGCATCATCTCTGGGTCAGCCAACAGCTGCTTCTCCATCTGGCGTTGGAGTGCAGGGAAGAAGCCAGGCCCACTGTTTGTTAGGCCAAGACTGTCCAGTCCTTCCACTATGGGAACAACATCAGATCAAAAATGCAGGAGTATGTAACTGCACTGGTGTATGATCTTATCATCCCACAGCAGCAGTATAACCCCACATCGAAAGGACAGGAAAAATGTAGACTCTAAACTGTAAACTACTCTAAACTGAAACACATATCAAGTGCAAGTGTGAAATGTGAGGAAAGGTAGAAAATAACTGTAGGTGTGGGAAGTTCCTGTGTTTTGCAGTTCTTACCCAGGCAGAGGGGAGAGGTGGGAGATGGTGTGAGGATATCATGATCAGAGTCGAGAACATCTGTGAGCCCTGATTGGACCGTCTCTGAAGCTGGATCACTGGTGGGTGCAGCAGAGGAACGCTGAGGCCTGAGAGGGATAAACTTAAGATGAATCTAGAGTTCCAGATGTGTTGTAAAAAAAAAACTGCGTATGGGTTTTTTTAGAATAGAACTGATAGAGCTATTAGGGCAGTGAGCTCATCTATGTCTGACTTATGACATCTGTATACACAATTCTGATATCTCATACTGACACTAGAGTGTAGCCATTCATCAACTTTATTCATTTGTGTAAAAATACTAGTAGCATGGCAAAGATACGAAGTATTTTAGACAAAATTTGCTTTGTCACTGTATGTAACAGTAGTGCCTGATTTCATTTGTCAGTGACATGACTAATTAAAAGGATGCCCCTGTGAGTGATAGTTTAGAGCAAATGTGGTTATTTAGCAAACACTGACCAAAATGGGGCACAGACACATGCGACTGACTGCATATTTTACAAAGGCAGACTATCCCTTTAAACTCACAGCCCTCTGAATTTTTCAGCAGATAGTCTGCTATTTTTGTAGTTGGGGCAGATGCACACGATCGCAAATAAACATGTATTTGTGAAGCTTAAATGAGTCTGATGACGACGAGAACATATGTGTGTGTGTGTGTGTTTACCTTCGGATCATGCAGAGGCTGACTGACTCATTCTGCCCTTTAAGGTGACTCAGGATCTCTGACTCTCTGAGGACCCGGCCGGACTGGATCAGCACCAGCTGCTCTGCTGAGGCTCCCAGGCGATCTGATAGACCCCATTTTAGCTGTACCCACCAGACACACACAATAAACACACAACGGCGCTTTGCCAGCCAAACATAACACAGCGATGGCTCTAGTCTAATACCATAATTTGGCAGGTTTTTAATAATAATGCTCAGTTTGTGGTATGGAAACGATTACTGAAATCACTGCGCATCAATTATCAAACCGAACCATTTTACGAACAAAGCTGCCAGACCCTGTGGCTGTCTGGTCTCCTGACCTGTCTGACGGTGCAGTCTCCTCTGACGGTGAAGTCTTTGCTCTCCGTGAGACTTTTAACCGCAACGTGGATCATTTCAGTCCTCTGACATTCACCAGGTGATCTCGGTTCATCTTTCATCGCGCCTGACATCTCAGTGCTGTCCGGGCTCACGATGGAGATAAGCGGACCAGGAGCGGAGGTGCGTGTCTGTCCCGATGACTCTGCAAAAAGTTGTGTGGATGTGTGCCAGCTCTGACCCGACTGCGCAGCAGGGTGTAGCCTACATACAAATCTGATTCTTTCTATTATGTGACGGGAATTTTCTGCTTTTATACCCCTCTTAATTTACAGTTCTTTACCCAGAGGCTACTGCGAGAAGATAATTATTTCGTGATTATAATTATGTAACCGGATTCAATTTAAAGAAATAGTAGACCACTAAATTAATCAGCAGTTTTAAGACTACGGTTCATTTCACTGTCTTAAAAATCACCCTCAAGATCAAAGCAGACATATTTTAAGCATTAAAAAAAAAGAAGCAAAATTATTGTCAAACTTTCACCGGAGTTGCACAATGGGTCTAAAAGTGAAATATCCTCTGCATTTCATTTCATTTCAAAGCACTTGTTACATTACGCTGCACAAACTGTGGGAGTCAGGGCCGAGCTTTGACATGAGATACTTTAAAATTATCAATAGGAAGAAATATGTTCTTTATATTACAAAAAACAGATTTGTTTCCTATCACAAGATAATGATGATTGGGGTTAAATTAAATGAGTTTAAATCTAATTATAAAACATCTTTTTTATGTAAGTGCTTGTCCTGACTTTACTTCGAGTTTTTATTTCTTCGAATTGCTTTTTTTTTTAACCTTTTTATGCCATATTTATCTTACGTTGATAGAATTGGTTTTATCACCATCTAATGCATTTCAGTGCTTTTAGAACTTATTTCACTTTGCTGCCTTGTGTGAAGTACTTTGTAAATTAGGTTAAAAGTGCTCCATAAATAAAAGATTATTGCTATTATCATGACTTTTGCTATACAGTTACATTTTGCATTTCAGGCAAATAAGTTTTGTAAAATTTTGACGTTCAAGACAATATATAAAAAATGAAAGAATTTTGTTCACTGAAAAAGTACTTTATTTACTTAACAGTGAGAAAACAAACAAACAAAAACAAAAATTTCACATGTCATTTTGGCATTAAAACCCACAGAAAGATCAGGCACACAACCGTCAGCAGTACTAAAGATGCAGTGGCACGCTTGTGCCTGCAGAGGGCAGCACTGTGTGCCAAGCCATCATTTCAACGCAAACTTGAAAGTCAATCAACTTAAGAAGTTTCTTTAATTCTTGTCGTGTTCAGCTGTGTAATACATGGAGTGTATACTGTGTGTGTATGTGTGTGTGTAATTAAGGGAGGCATGCATTTATGCTGACATGGAGTCCAAGCTAAAAAAAACCTTAAGGAAAGAAAACCCTGATTACGATCAGTAATGCTTTTCTTCATTTGTTCATTCATTATTTCATTTTTCTATATAGGTCTTTTCCTTTGGAAACCTTCATAGATCCGTCTCCGAGCCTTTCTTCCCTTTTTTATTTCCCTGCCAAACATAAGCGAAAGTGAGAAAGTACACAATTATTGTATTTACTTTACTGAAGCCTGTGTGTGTGTATTTATTGACCTAATTCAAGGTCAATGAAAATAGAAAGAGAAAACACATTAAAAGAAAAATAGCTCTCTGAGTCTATGCCACAGAAATTAATTAATTTAAAATGAAATGAAAAAAACTTAAAACAAAGTTTTACTGACAATGAAAATGCTCCTGTGGCATTATTAAAGCGATTAAAGTAATTAAAGAAATTAAAGTACAAATTCTCTGAAGTGACCTGAGACTATCCTTACGTCTACTCTGACTCTCTATTACTTACACTGTAACCTTTCTCACTTCAACTGACCTACTGGCTTCTGTTTCTGCGGTCTATAGAGAGGGAAAGAAGGAACATGCAAGCATCTTGTCTATCTAAACCACAAGTCTGATATATAGATATATAATGGTTATGGTGACATTTCCACACGTCACTCAGAGGTAACAAGAAAATGAGAAAGTGAGGATTATTCTCACCTGATGTTTCGGCTGTTCTGACTGCAGACCTTTGACTTTAGATCTTTCTTGTTCAAGGGCGGCATGTAGTAATGTTACCTAAAAAAAAAAAAAAAAATGCACATAGATGTACAAATATCTGACACACCCACATTCCTCACTTATAATCGTTATCTCACTATAACACACCTGTGATGACAGTTCTTCTTTTATATGTAGTAGCTCTTCTACCTGTAGAAGGATTTCTGCTTTATCTTTCACTGAAGGAGACAGATTAGAAACATCAGACAGATAACATTAATTATTCATGTGGGTTGGGAAGGGAAGGGAAGGGAAGGGAAGGGAAGGAAAGGAAAGGAAAGGAAAGGAAAGGAAAGGAAAGGAAAGGAAAGGAAAGGAAAGGAAAGGAAAGGAGAGCAAAGGGGGGCTATATAGTGTAATTTGGGTGATGTTCAACTCACTCTCTCCCTGTTGGAGCATTTTCAGCAGCTGGGAATTTCTTGCTTTCACCTCTTTGTATTTCACCTATCGAGTTAAGAAGAAAGAAGAAAAAACCTTTTGTCACAACAGAAAGGCAAGGAGACTTGGATTGTGCCACGGGTGTGGTTTAAAAATGACATGTTGATACATTTTTTTCATTCTGGAAACCGGTCAGTACTGGACTCCATTGTGACCAACAGGAATTCAAGCTGCCCACAGCCTCTCTCGTTATTTGAGAGACATGAAACTAGAAACTTTTATGCCACATTTCAAATACCCGGGGAAATAATGTTTGCTACTCAACAGACAGTTGATAGGAAATTTCCAATAAGCTGTTCATAGTCAGTCTCTCAAAAATCCAGCTTTTCTGTCCTTGGTGAATTCTTTCTTGCCATTTTACAAACTCCCACAGTCCCATGTGCTGATTTCTTTTTTCCTTGAAGACTGCATTGATTGTTCCGATGTACTGTACTCTTCCTTCAGCTGTGCAGCTAAAATTAGCTCAAGTAAATCATCAATCACCTGAATTCTAATTTTTCTTCAGCAGTGTCACTTTAAAACAAATATCAAGCCCTTTGTGTATCAATTAAAAAGGCCTGTGGCTTACTGTAGCAAATGCATACATCAAATACAAAAAGAAAATGCTCTGATATGTTTTATTCAAAAATATGAGCATCGGTTAGGGGAGAGTCGTATGTACTCTGAACTGTAAATTCCTGTTCGTCTACATGGATATGTCTCTGCACTGTTCTGACAGCCTGTTTAAAATATTTCAAGAGAGGAGTGGTAAAATACAAAGAAACCGCAGTAAGCTTGTTAGATAGAGAGCTGCAGGGGAGAGCCGCATACTGCAGTTAACATAAGACTACCTATTCCAAAACAAAAGGGGTGAAATTATAATTTTCCAGAGAAATTATAGAATGACTGAGTAACTGCTTATAACTGCTGACCTCCCACTGTGAGATTGTCTTCTTTAGCTTATCGATTTCCTGGTCTTTCTTCTCCAGTTCGTACTTCAGTTGCTCTGCCCGAGGGTCCTAATAGGAATAACAGGGAGAAAAGAGCAAGTGAGGACAAATTTAAACTTCCCACTAACTCAGCTAAGTAAGGAGAAACAAACTTCACTTGATTAATGTGAAATTGTGCACACAGACAGCTCTAAGGACAGACCATTGTTCATGTTCATGCACAGACAGCTAGATGAGTATTTTGTTGTACATGTGTGTTTGTGTCCATCCACTCACTGGTTCATGTTCTGTGGACGTGTTGACTTCTTGCCCCTGGCTGTTAGCGTACTGCTCACGTCTCTTCTCCTGTTGGATAATCCGACTGACGTCATCTTCCAGTTTATTAAAAAAACGCTCCTCCTGCCCGATTCCTAGTGCCAGGTTAGCTGCTCTGGCGTCCTGGATGGGAATGTGGTCAGTGTTTCAACAGTAGTGTGCCATATCCCTCATGTATTCAGGCCCAAATGAAACCTTGTACATATTCGGTATAGCTAAATAGAACTGTTACCGTATATTTATACAGTGCATATTCTTGCTCACCTCTTTCTCTTGTTTCTTACTTGAATGTTCTGCAAGGAGATAAGTACACTGATATAACAATTATTTAAACAAAGTTTTCTGAAAAAATACATGTAGTATAGTTTTTACAGTGCTAAAGGGAGTACAGTTATAGGTTGTGTTGTGGGCTGCAGACTACAGCACACAAGATCCTAATTTAAATGCTTTTGAAACTGATGGATAAGTTTGTCTCACCTACACTGCCTTCAGCCTGGAAGTCCTGCAGTGAAACTGTCTTTTTGTCTTTTGCCTGCTGATTCTTCTTTTTGTCCTTCTTCCCTCCGCCCTCTTTTCCTCCTCGTGACTTTGGCGAGGTTGTGTTTGTGTTGATCTGCTGAATGAAAGCAGATTGATTAACTTAAGCTAAAGTTATAACTAAAAGTTCCTAGTTTATAATCACTATTTACTAAAAACTAAATTAAATGAGGCTTAAACAAATAAAACTGAATTCAACTTCCATTTCATACAAGAAATAATTTTGATAGTATATAATTTAATTTAAAATAGTGCTATCCCAGTGCTGGATTTCAAATGAAACCATGACTATGAGGTTAAAGTGTTGACTTTCAGCGTCAAGGGGATTGTATTCATATCCATGTTAGGTGAATAGTATACAACCTTGTAATTTTTCCATTGGTGTTGTTGTATAAAAAGGATTATTATTTCCTCGTGATCATGAATTAAAGTCAGCATTTTAGCACCACAGTCACTGACCTATAAACTGTGCCGTGCAAAGACAGACAGACAGATGCAGTTTGATTTTGTTAACAACAAAATATTTGTTTTTAGTGCTGACGTTTTCCGTTTTCCTTAATTCCAATGCATCTGAAACAAAAGATCCAGAGAAGTTTGCAGAGGAGATGAAAAGGTTTCTTGGCATCACACATTCAGTACCTGTTTTGAATGACCACTGGCACCTCTGTAACTGCTCAAAGTGCCAGCATGTGGGAGACAATACACTGTGGCGTCTGAATGTGACAGGTACGTCATAGGGCAACACAACTTGAGGAATAGTGAAAACAGTGGGAAACGAGGCAGAGACTGTGTTGCATTGTCTTTTCTTACAAAATGTGTTTCTGCTAAATTTCAGATGATGAATTTATATGAGTGATGATTTAGCATATTCATACTGATCCCTTGCCATATCATAAATGCCAACACTGTCATGAATACTGCTCCAAATTAAGAGCTATATAAGACTGATACATTTCTCCAAACCTTTTAACTCTGACAACTGTACTTTCCCATTAAAATGCCTTTCAAAAGGGGTATATTAGTGTGTGTATGAAAGCAGCGTACCTGTTTGTGTTGTTCGTACTCCAGTTTACTTAGAATCAAGGCCTTCTCCAAGTCTGCCTCATATAGTTCAGTGGTTATCTAGAGGGAGAGCAGGTAAACAGATCTATGTGCAGAGAACAACAAGGGCTTGGGAAATATATATTGTAATGTCTGTCAGGTCAGACATGACCTGTTTGAAATGCAGTTATATCATGGAAAGACAATATACTGAATTTCATGAATCTGCTCTTTTCTAATGCCTTTAATAAACAACATCCTCACTCTCTCCATCAAGTTTTCAGTAAAGAACAGAAGGAAATAGGTGACATTTTAAGTAAATGTATGCAAAATCAATCAATCCGTGCATACATGGAACCACTCCTCTGCTGCTGATGTCTGAACAGCTCCACACAAAAGAGCTGGAAGTAAAGTTGCTAACATATTTGTAATGGGAGTGGTTCTCTCTCTTACCTGCTCATCCCTCTGCTTCCACTGCTGCCACCCCTCTGAAGGTATACTGTGGTCCCCTGACGCAGGAGTGAGAAGTTCACTGGCTATTCCTGACAGTGTCATACATGGAGGCGGGGCACAGGACTTCTGAGGAATCTTCTTGAAGGCCAGATTACGTAACTGATAGAAAGAGAGATAAAATTTAATCCAAACACTGATATGACCATTATTGCTCTATTATGAACTGTTACCATGGTTTGTTGTTTGCTTTAGAAGCTATCAGCATGTTTGTGCATGGAAAGTAGCAGCTTTGAGTCTTACCAGGCTTTCTTTTCACTAACAAAAATTGAGTTGTTTTCTGTTAATTTATGTTTTTTCTCAAATCACCACTTGCTCATAACTATACTACACTAGTAGTAGTAGCTACAACTCTAGCTATTGTAGTTAGTAGTAGTGACAGTGTCTGCATGTCTCCTGAAAACCTGCAATCATATCCAAATGTTTTAAAATTAACATTACTAACTTTTGTAAATTAAATTCAAGCCTTATTTATACCTACTGACACTTTCTTGGGGAATTCGGTGAAATCAGTTTCAGTGAAACTGAATTAACTACTTTTAAGGCTGTTAAAGACCTGTAGATACCCTGTTGACATTTTTGCTTCAAAAAAGACACAACTATCAATTATCACAATAGTTGCAATAATTACTTTCCTGTCAATGAACTAATCTATTAAACGACTTATCAACTACAAGCTCTACATTTTAGTGCAAAGTACACTGTGTTTACTTGTTAAGAAATGTGCTATGTAAGTAAAATTGTGTGCTGAGGGGCCATTTGATCATCTGACTGAAAAAAGATGCATACATCCCTACACATTATTACAAAAGCAAAAAGTTGCTTCTTTTTTGGCTGGTTTGTATGAAGGCTGTATTTTGACTGTTGCTTTGGCTAAGTGAGTGATATTGAGACAACATTTTGTGATGTGGCTTATCAAGGAGTAAACATCTCAAATGAAAAGCCACTGGTTCCACTCTCAACTTGAATTAATGCCAACACTGTGCTAAACAACTGAGATCAAAATAAAGCTTGCTGGAGTGTGCCTGACACCACCCTGTGTGAAACGGCAACAGAAGATCTCAGTCATTGTGTATTCCTGTCACAAAACGGAGGTTATCAAATATGCATAGATATGTGCTGTGTGAAGCACAGGTTCGTCATATGCTCCTGTCCTAACAGTCACTCACCTCATTAGCCTCACTCTGCTGCTGCTCCTTCTTCTTCTTTTTCTTATCTTTCTTTTTGTCGTTGCCCTGAGCCGCTTTCCCCCCGGCTGCTCCTGCCTTTCCTTGTCGGGGCTTCCCAGAGGAGTCCCGTCCGCTTTTAGTGGTGGTCTTCCCCGGTTCGGAGGTGTCGGAATCCGAATCCGAGTCTATCTGAAGCAAGGCGAAGCGGGAGGCGGTGGTGGGGACGGTGATCATTGCAGATGATGCCATTGCGAAAAGGAAACTAACTGATGACAAAAGACAAGGAACAATTGAGTATGGGAAACTTGAAGCCGGTTATAAAGGAGTTAGCTTCTAGTGACAACCTGTTTTCAAATAAAAACATCACCATATCTGGACCAACAGCTTTATTTAAAGCAAAATATTTATTCGTTAGTATATCTTATCAAAAGAGACACAATGATGATAAATGTTAAGTGTTTTGAAGTGTATCATTGCTAACAGTCTAGTGACAGACGCAGCTAGCATTACATAGCAGCAAGTTAACCTAGCTAACTATAAAAGGCTTAGCCGGTTTTGTTAGCCTCAAACAAGTACAAAAGTAGCGATGCACGACGGTTAATAATACAAATGTAGGTTCACGTAGATATTTTGTTTTCAATGCACTGGTTGACTTGTCCGGAAAAGCTGGTACTCACAAGAAAAGTTGCTAAAGAACACTTTCACCTGTTCGTGAGGAAACTGTCGCTTACCGTTGGTTTGCTACCAGCGATTGTCTGAGTACAGCAGCCCGGTGGTGCCAAAAAGGATAAAGGCTGCGATTCCGAATAGTGTTGCCAAATTTGACCGACATGGAGTTTCCCAGAGACTGTCTAGATTCGGCGGAAAACCGCCCATTCTGGCAACAGATATCGCCATTTCTCTTTTGAGTTCTTGCTATAAATTATGTTCTTTCTTTTACTCAGGTAAAAGCATTAGTAACTCAATGTATAAATATTCCATTACAAGTAAAAATCCTTCATTCAAAATCTACACACACATTAGATAGAAAATTGCCCCTCTGGCTGATCTGTTGTTATACAGTATATGACGTTGTTAGTGTTTATACTGAAGCAACAATGTGTAAGCGGCATTTATTGTTGTAGCTGGTTGAGGTGGAGCTTTATATATGGGTAGTCTAGTCCAGTCTAGATTCCCAGCCTATGAGTTGGGCCCCTCCAAAGGGTCACATGATAAATCTGAGTGGTCTTGAGATGATTAATATGATGCAAAAGCTATTCAACACAAATTTGTATCAAATCTTTGTTATTTTGTGGAATATTGAATTGTTTTACATCTTTGGGCCTCAAACGCTTATTTAAATTAAACCGTTAGAGAGGAAAGTATTCTTTGGTGGAGCTTAACACCTCACTGATATCTGAAACATGACAAGAGGCCCAACTACACACTGTTTTTTAGTACACTCACCCCCAAAACCATGGCTCCATGGATTAATCTGTCCATGGGCTGAGGGTGAGGGAATGGAATGAATTCTCACAATAAAGGCAAAGCAAAGAGAAATGCAAATTAGTAAGTTTAATAAATTTGTCTGTAGAGTTACAGAAATAATTTACACAGCAAGTATAGCTAACAGTACAGCTAACAGACATAAAAAAGATTGTATCAAAAAACACATAAAAAACACATTACTGTTTTAGTGCAGAAAACACACTGTATCTACTGGCCATTTAAGTGCTAAACAGTGCCAAAAATTAAAGGTGAAAAACTCACTCGGCTGTATTTGATTACTTCGAACTCTAGGTTGATGAACACCTTTTCTCTAACTTATTGTTTTAAACTAGCAGTGTTGTAAAAGGAGGAGAATCAGATTAGTGGATGCAGTTGGTGACAGCCATAAGGTAAAGTATTATGACTACAGAAATAATATCAGAAAAGTGCTTTTTTTCCCCACACTCACTCAACATAAGGTTGGCGTTTATGCATGCATTGTGTTTATGTCAGTAAGATTTATTTATTGCAAAGATTGAAGCAAAGTTTTTTGTCTTGTTTTATGTCTTTATCTAGGATAAGAGCTTGAAACATAAGAAATCTCCAAATTTACGGGAACAAAACATGAAATGTGCAGTGTTGTATTTTGATGTGACAAGAGCCAAAAATCTATAATCGCAAAATGGGACATGTCACTCTGTTTTTTGTGTAAACACACTGCCAAGTTATTGGAAATTCTCTCTATACATGCCATTTATCAAATTCATTTTGTTGTCATAACAACACTGGCCTTTCTTTGTGTTTCCTCTGTTACTAAATTAAAAAAAACTCCACAACATTCAGCATAGAAGACAGGAAGACATAGGAAGACAGTGCTATGACAAGAGACTGAAGTGGTACACTGTAAATTATTCACACTCCAGCCCATCTAAAGGACACTTTAAGGTCATAAACTCTGAAGTTTTTCATGGTTGCACTATTCAGTGGTATTACATGTTCAACAAAGGACAATAGTGAATTTACAAAAAAAATTCAACAAAAACATATCTTCATAGTATATTGTGAATATGGACATGCATTACCTATAGACCATTTTTTTCATTCTGGGAAATAATTTAATGCACCTATGGGCACTTCTCACTGACCTCAGAGCCCCACAAAGTCCTTAAAGTAGGTATTTTCCAACAAGCACATTTTCACAAGATACTTGAGATGAGTGGAAGAAGTGTGTCATTCATATTCAATTTTATCTGCAGTCATTTATGACACACATTTTCCTTTGTTTACTACTACCCAACTGGAATCTGCTGTATACATTACTGCTGTCAAGTGACTCTTGGGTACTTTGATCTACGTGAAGTCACTGAATAGATCTGCAAATGATGCAACATCATCTGTTAGTGGTTTTGGACATTTCTATGGAGTCTTCTAGTATTGATTCTGTGCTGGTATTCACAACAGACTGCCGCCTCCTTGTGGCAGAACCAGAGATCTGCAGGTCAGCTGGACAGATCTGTCTCAGTTCTTTGCGACACAGACGGACTGGTGTCATCTCTAAACTTTCCTCACTGTTACCAGCCTCTCTTTCATTCCTCCCCTGGGACTGTGTGTGTGTGTGCATCTGATTGTATTCAAGTTTGGTATTTCTGTCTGCTTGGAGGTCAGAAGATGAGGAAGGACAGGGGGTTTGGTGTGCATGTCTCCTCATATGAGAATCGAACTTTGTCTTTTGGTCTGTTTGCTCTGCATGTATCTTTGTGTATGTTGTTGCTATACGTGTCCTTGTTTGTAACTCTTCAGTTTGCATCTGGGATTTACTTGTGCCTGCTTGTACCTGCATATTGTGTGTTTGTCTGTGCTCCTGTATGTATGACTGCTGATCGTCATGGTGCAGGGCGCCACTAAAAAGTTCTCTGAGCTTGTTTTTTAGCTGCCGGCTGGAGCTCTTGTAGAAAAACAGTTCTTTCTCCAGATGCTGCAGTCTGTCTTGGATAGCCTGCTGTGGTTCTCCTGATCCACCCTCTAATCACACACACGCACACACACACAAACACACGCGCGCACACACGCACGCACCACGCACACACACACACACACACACACACACACACACACACACACACACACATACACACACACACAGAGACAAAGTAAATGAAACAGCAATATTTATGACACAATTTCTGTACAAATATGGAGAGGCATAGGACAAATAAATTCACTTTTAAACTTTTTTTCCAGGCTGACCTAATTTCCTCACCTTGAAGTTTCTGCAGGAGTAGCTGGATGTTGTTCTGGTGAGCTCGGTGCTGCTGGGTGAGCCTGCGGTCTGCATCCAGTGCCAGGCGCTGCATGGCAGCCTCCATCTCCCTCAGCACCCCCTCTTGCTCTCCTGCATGAAGCTCCAGCTCTTCACAGCGCAAACGCAAATGGCGCTCTGCCTCACGAAGACAAACAACCTAGAGAGGATGATAAAGTTGAGGGGGGCCAGAGAATAGTGCAGAGAAACACATATTATTACACAATATAACATTTGTTTACTCTGACACATGCTGAGAAAAAAACAAGGACAGAGTAAAACAGGTGGGAGGGAGTTTTTCATGGTGTAATAGTATAACATGGTGCAAACAAACCTCCTGGAGAAGTTGGTGGTATGGTATTTAGACATATCAGATGGAAATGAGGGGCACAGAGGGGAGCATTGGGGAAGCAGAGGGAGGGCAGAGGTATAATTTAATTAGCATTGCAAAAACAGTTCTGCTTCATTTCTGAGTCATCTTTGACTCAAGCACATCACCTGGAGAGAGAAGCAAGGGAAGGTAAATAACAGAGGAAGAGAAAAGGTGACACATAAATCTTCTGCTGGAACAGAAAAAGAAGTGAGGATTCAGTTTCCATCTCACCATGGCAGAATCCATTTTTTCACAAATTTAAAAACATGTTTTAAGAAAAGCGCAGACACCAGACATGGTATTCATTTGTAAATAGGAAATAATAGGGAAGAGTAAATATACTGTAGGAAAGGAAGCATGTTGGCTTTGTAAGTAGTGTAGAATGTAGCATACATCCATGTGTGTGTGCATTTTATCTTACCTTGTTGAAATATTTGATGAGCAGCTCCAAAGCCTCGGCTGGTGCGAGCTCCCTCAGCTTCCTGATGACATCACAGAGTGGGGCGGGTTTGGTGCTTTGTGACTGATACAAAGAGGAGTCTGTGAATGCCATCCTCTTCTGTTTGTCCTGGATGAAGCTGTTTTTAAACTTCAGAGCTGCATCCAGAGCTTCAATAGCTTCCTCCAGCTGGAGCAGGGAATGCCCCTCCTACATAAGGACACACAAAAATCAAAGTGAACAAAAGTTTATTTTACCAAAACCTGTAAATCATATCAGGTGTCAATGTTATTGTAATACAACACATTTCCTTCTTTCTGACCTCCATAGTAAGTACTCTGTTTTCCTTCAGCTGTGCATCCAGAGTGTCTCTCCTCTTTTTAAGCATGTCTCTCTCCTTCTCCAGTTCCTCTTTGGTAACTCCTCCAGTCTGCCTTGCATTGCTACTGCTCTCCAGGTGCTCCTCCACTGCCTCCAACTGCATTGACACACGCCGCAGGTCCTGACTCAGAGCCTGAAAAGTTAGTGATATAAAACCTCCAGATATAAACATACATAGACATGTGACAATATTAGCTCAATCATAATAAAAACATATATACTGGCTGACCTGACTGGAGCGTAGCATCTTCTCCTCCAGTTTGTTTTTTTGTTGCAGATAGGCCTCTCTGCGCAGGACCACCTCCTCTCTCCTCCTCAGCTCCTCCTCCAGCTCTTGCAGCTCTGCTCTCCTCTGAAGCACACACTCCTCCTCCTGCTCCAGCCAACTGCTGTCACATAACTACAGTGAGAACAAGGAGAAGCAAAGGGATGTAAGGAGGAGAAAAAGGACGGAAGGGGTAAAGGAGGAGGGAGATGAGAGACAAATTAAGACGATAAGAAGACAGAGAGGTAGAAATAATAAATGGGAAGGAACAGTTGTATACAAAAGAAACACAAAATCAAAATGAAGGAGAAAAAGCAAAACAAACTTTTAAATAATTTATACTGCTTTATGGTAGTAAATGGTTTACCTTTTCCTTTGACTCTTCCTGGTGAATGCTTTTGCACACAGTCAAATCTCCTGCTTTTTGCTTCTATAAACAAAAACACAAATCACATTTACTCTTTACTCAAGAGCCATTAATAATTTACCCATGCTGTCTCAGCTTTTACATTTCTCTATTTTGGATTTTGTTTATTTTCGCCCATCAACCAAAAAAAAATTTACCCATGCTGTCTCAGCTTTTACATTTCTCTATTTTGGATTTTGTTTATTTTCGCCCATCAACCAAAAAAAAAGGATTTCAAAGTTTATATCAACAGAGCTGACTTATAGCTTTACACAAGACTTTTCCTATTGCATCATCTAGACACCATGTTTGATGTTACTGGGTTCATTTTTGCAACTAACCCCACTTTGGCCAAGTTCTTTGTTGTCATCAGTGATCTGTCTCTGCTGCCTGAGGTTGGTCTGAAGCTGCTCTCTCCGCAGTCTCATGTGCTGAAGGCTGCGATACACCTCTGCTCGGACCTGCTGGTTCTGCAAGGAAAGTCTTGCCAACATGCCAGCTTCTGTGCCATCTCTGTTGTGCCTGCCATGTCTGTCCACGGCCTGGATTTTCTTGTCTATCAGACAAAAACACACATTTATAGACGCAAGTAAAGCTCAAAGCTCAAAATGTGAGATATCAGGTATAGTCAGAAAGTTTCCATTCATGGTTGCTTTAAACAAAAAAAATGCATAATTTGCAGATATATTTAGTGGCTTTAAATATCACCAAAATAACCCTTTTAACAGAAGCCTCTAGAAGTTGCAGCAAATACACAAACAAATCAGTTAAAGATTTGTATTCTTCTTGACTCACTATCTTCAAACCAACAGACACAGAAATAACCAGTATGTAATAATATAAACACCAGTTTTGTCAAGCTCTTTGATGAGCTCCTCTTCCATGCGCATGTTGACTGACAGATCTTGGATCCTTCTCTCAGTAACACTGGCTCTTAGATGGGCCTTCATCATATGGCTTTTTTTGGCATGGTTTTCCTTGGCCCCTGTAAAGAAACAGTATAACAGTATAACAGGAAAAAACTTCTTGGACATAAATTAACTCCTGGAATATCACAGAAGAGAACGGAGACAGGAACGCATGCCCCTGAATACAACAAGACAAGGAAACAGAAGATTGTCAAATAAAGTCAAATACATGTAAAGTATACCTGTAGCTTGCTGAGGCTGTTGTACTAATGGATTCCCATTAGATGTTTGGTCCAGTCCAGTGTTTTTCTCTTTCAGAGCTGATTTCTTCTGCCGACTCGTCCATGTTCTGTTTAAAGAATGCCTGGAGTAACATCACAGGATTTGATTAGGCAGATGATTTCAGATGAACTCACTGCTGTAAGAAAAGCAAGACTTTCTGAATCAAGGATTATTGATATGTGTGAAACCAAAGACCTTTTGGATTTCTTTGGCGCACGGTACACCTGCAGTATACTTGGAAACAGAGTTCTAGGGTAAAACTATGGAAATTAGATCCTAGCATCATTAATGGCCAATCATATCAGCTCTTTTCATCTTCTTTAAAAGCAGTTCTATCCACAATGCACGTCTAAGAATATGCAGTGCATAAATGTGGAGGCTGTTCGGAAAACTAAGGTATTTTTGACCAGTTTGAGGCGCACAAGAACACAGACTCTGGTGTGGCTATTTTGAAACTTTATTTCTCAATAGCTTGGTACTGGTTGCACAAAATTGAATTAGCTACATGTGTTTGCCATGTATAATGCATTGCACTTAAATGCAAGACTATTATTGTCAAAATTACCACGATTAAAATTGTATTTGAGCTGTCATTTTAATATTTTTACTAGTTGAAGTTAATGAGTGGTGTAAAATTAAGGGTTTCTGTGACTTGTGAGAGCAGCATAAAATGCAGTCATTCTTGACACCGAAATTGTAGTGTGTCACTGAACTGTCACCAACACACCCCCCACAGTGTCTGTCTTCCCATGTTGGCGCATGGACAGTCACTGCTATACACAAGCGGGAGCAGATGTGGAATAAATGTTACCACACCTGGAGAAAAGCATCTTGACAAAAGTGAAAAAAAAATTACATTTCATTTAACATTAATAAATAATTTAATTACATTTTTCTGTATTTTTGTGAAAACCTTTTTTCGTAGCAGCACATGAACAAAAACTTTGTGACTTGCACGCCATTAACCAAAATTAGTTTCAATGTGAATCACTGGTGGCTTCACGAAGAAAGAACCTGTAGGCTGGTATTACACAGACTCACCTAACTGCCATTTTGCTCACACAGTCCTTATCCTCCTCCTCCTTCTCTGGAGCCCTGTCTATGCTCTCTCCCTGTTGTTTTATGAATGGACAGTACACCTCATCCTTTTCTTCAAGCTTAGCCAGAAGGAGATGACCGCGCATTTTAAAGGCTGCCATCACCCTCTCCAGTGAATAGGCTGGGGGACTGGAGTGAATCTACAAACGCACACATGCATACGAACAGAAATATGCACATGAAACAACAGTGAGTGGATGCACACATGAATCTATGTTTAGTATTTACAAAGTCAAGTGTATCTGGTACAACTGATACACACACAATCAATAACACACACAGAACAAAACAGTGCAGCTACCTCCTACCTTCCTGGGAGGCCCATGTCCATAGCTGTGTCTGATCAGAGGGACACTATGGGGCCTCTTGCCTGAGTTCCCAGAAGCCACTGCTTCCACTGCGGCCCCTGAGGTTGTGCCCCGAAAGGTCATGAGGTCGCTGCGAAGACGATCAATCAGCATCTGTTGGTCTACCAGTTGTTCAGTCTGAAAACATTCACACACAACAGTACACACAGGCATGCATTTAACAAAAAAATAAAAAAGTTGTTCTTATTCTTATTCTAGGACAGTTTTGAAGTTTTATTTGCAGATTTAATGAATGCAGTGTCCTTTTCTACTGTATTACAGAGCTGCATTCAAAACTGTTGTTCTCCTCACCTGTATACGATTATGTTCCTTTTCTTCCTCTAAGGCTTGGAGGTGGGTTTTCCTCTCTTGAAGAAGCCCCTCAAAATCTTTTTGTACCTGTCTCAGCTCTGCATCTTTCTGCTCCAATAGATGCTCCTCTATGTTGAGAGCTTCCTAAGAGTAAGAGTAGATAAGAGAAAAATGTCACTTTTCTTCACTATGCCTTGATTGATGGATATTTCATCATTGATTCAGTAGCGCTCTTTTCATTTTTAAAAGTCAGAATAGCTGTTTCTGTCTATGCATTTTACTAATCCAGTGCATCTGTTGCTTTCGTTCATATGATCTCATCTCAGGCTCTCAGGGATTAAAGGATGTCCCAATGGAAATTTTGATTTGACCTCATCATGGAAAAACACAGATATAACAACTTGATTCCTATGGGTGTGCCAGAAAGCCAGGATAAACAGTACTAGGACTGCAATGAGTATGCCACATCTAAATGGGATGTTATTAGTTACAACTACACTTTTCAACCTCTGGATAACAATACTGGTTTCCTACATGGGGAAGGCTAGACCCTTTTAAATTATGCAGCACTGTCACTGGCACTGCTCTTTACAAGGTATGAGAAGAGAAATATGACAGGGTAATGACAAGTGATTAATTAGCAGTCTGCATGCTGTCTGTTTTAATCAATTTCAACTATTTTGAATAAAATGACTAAGTGCATTTACATAACCTTAGTATTAGTGGCATATCAGCTAGCACTTTGAGTTGAGATGGGCATTGCACATTGAAATAGAGTGTTATGGATTGTGGAACAGCTCCCATCAATTGTTTGATAAAACAAACATTTGTTAACTTTAAAGGCTATCTGATGTTTCTTTTTTACTTTTTATAATTACCTGGCATTTCTTGAGCTCTTCTCTGAGCTTTAATAATGTAAGATGGTCAGGCTGGTCTCCATTCCTCTCTGAACAGTCCTTATCATCGATTTGATGTGTGTTATTGACAGCTGCCAGTCTCTCCTGCCAGTCCTGCAGTTGCTGCCTGAAAGATTGACTTGGAGAGGGGCCAGAGATATCTGCAAGCAGAGCTGCAGCTTCCATTGCCAGGAGGTGGTAGTGTGATGATTGCTCTTGGGCCATCTTCTGATCTAGTTCAGATAACCTTATCTGACTGCGCTGTTTGAAACTCTCCACCTCTCCACCTGTCCTCTCCCTCTGCATCTCCATCTCTCTCTCCTTCTCTTTCAGTAGCTCTCTCAGCGTCTTTACTTCAAACTCGAGCTCCCCTTGTCGAGCCTCGCTGGGGTCCCAGGCTGAAGGTAAAGATTTAAGCTCTGTATGAGTAGATATTGCTCTGGGACGGTTGCGAATGTGACGGGCCTTGGATGCAAACTGCAGGACACTCAGAGTCTCAGCTACACTGTGGTGAGAGGGGCTTACACAGGCCACCATCAGTGTATGGGCGGTGCCACCCAATGAATCACGGAGGAGACGGGTGATCTTGGCAGCACGGTATGGTATGTGTGCGCTGTTGCAGTTGTTACCACGGCGGGTTCGAGCAGGGTCAGACAGGGCACGGATAACATTGCCCAGTGCAAGCAGGCCTGTGTTGATATGAACAGATTCTTTGAGCCGTGTTCCAGTGTTGCCAGTTTTTCCAGCACGCTCTGAGCCTGCTAGGTCGACCAGACAGAGTTTGGAAGAGCGGACAGACTTTAAGGAGGTGTTGTTGCGGCAACATTGGATGAGCTGAAGGGTGAGGATGGCATGAGAGCGACTGGAATGCTCATTCATCCCTGTGGTGCTGGTGTGGCGTAGAGCATTACCCATCTCTAGAACGCTGAGTAGCTCCTCTGCTGAGGTGACAGCCATCTCTTTGGCTCCCACCACCACTGAAAAAACATGGTTGAAATATTACTTTCCCCCAGGGTACAACTTAGTGTCTTTGTCCTTGTTGTATTACTATGACTTCCTCATCCTCTCTTAAAGGTTTCTCATTCATTAAATGAATGATTTTACATCTTAAAATCAGTTTACTAATGAGTAGCCTATTACACAGCCTGTTATTCTAACTGATTACATGTAATGTCTTCTGCAGCTTTACTAATGTCACCAGGGTTATCTCTTGGGCTTGGAGACTAAAAAGCTACTACAGAAACCAAGTGGACACTACTTAGGGGGCCTGATGGGAAGTGTAGAATCCCTTAATACTTGGGACAAAAACCACCATATACTGGCCTTCATTTTTAAATCTGTCTCTTGCGTGTCCAACCAACTCTGAGGAAGTGCAATACTGATTCTCAGTAGTACACAAAGTACATTGCTAACAAAGAAAGGAGTACCAGTAGCATGATAACCAACTTTGTGGTGCAATGAACGGCATGTCCTTAAATAGGATTGGTGTAAAAAAATAGGTGGAGGGTGGATATATGGACAAATTCCCACAGGCAACACACAGAGAGTGATATCAATTTATGTCTCATGTCCTTTGTTTAGGAAATCCTATAGGCTCATTCCCTCTCATGTAATCTACAGTATGTGAAACATACAAAAATAAATTCACATTTTGTCACATTTGTCTGACAGTGAAAAAGGATATTTTCATTACCTGTGTTTCCCTTCTCATCCTCTCTGATATGAAGCTCTTTGTGAATGGTGTGCATCTCTAGCAGGTCTCGCAGCTCTTCCCTGTACAGCTCCATATATGACACCCGCACTGTGGCCTCCACACCATCATTGTTTTTCCTCTTTTCCCCCAACAACAAGAACACATCTTGGGCCACACGGTCAATAATTCCTCCCTCTTCATCTGAGAGAGGTTTTGGAAGGAAGAGACACAGTAATAGAGTAAATGTTGCAAAGACCAGAGAGTGAAACATTAGAAAAGACCTTCAAGGTCAAATCTCTAGTATATATGTGAAGTACAACAATGGGTTAACAGCAAAATACTGGTCAGAAAAGCTTACTTTGAAGTCAGGATTTCTGCAGGGTTGACCAAGTTAAATTTAAGACATTTTAAGACATTTTTAATACCACACAGGATGTAATTTAATCCATGTTTTAAGAAAATCCCACCCAGGGATAATAAAGCTGATTGTTTTTTTCAATTTATATATCAAACATTTAAAAAAAATTGTGAACAAATGGAATATTTCCCTATCTTTCTCAGTCAAAGAAAGAAATGCGCTCTAAATAATTCAGTTTACCTCTTCAATCACCTCTCTGGATCGTTTTAACCTCATTTTTGGGATGAAAACTGACACCCGTGCAACTTACCCAGTTTCCCCCCTCCGAGTGTGTATGTCTTCCCTGACCCTGTTTGTCCATAACAGAAGACGGTGGCATTGCAACCGTCGACCAGGGACTCCACCAGCGGCTGGACGCAGGACTCGTACACCTCATCCTGACTGGCTGTCGGCCCAAATGCATGGTCGAAGGAGTAGAGTCGGTCCGAGCCGAGCATCACCTGTGCGGTGCCCGGCACCATCCGCACACACACCTGGTGGTTGTGGAGGACTTCCTTGGGAAGCAGGGGCCGGATACGGACCGCCACTCGGACACATACCTCGCTCATGACGGTGAAATGTAGTTTCTGAGAAAGACTAACGCTTGTACTTGTGATGTTTCCACTTTCATCTCAGCACCTCACAGCTTAGTTGTGGAAATAAATTGTTTGAAATAAACGAGGGAACGATCTACATTTTACCAAAACAAACCTTCTGATGTTGACCTTGTGTGTTTAACTACCGTCGTTGTCATTTGGTTGTTGTTGATGTTGTTGATAACTTAGTCGACTGTTTTGTTTGTTGTCGCTCCTTGGTTGCCCGGGAAACCGCCGCCGCTGTGCTGCAGCAGTCGAGGAAAACAGGAGAAGCGTTCAAGAGTCGATATGGAGGGCGGACCGAGTGCTACGTGAAGGCAACAGCGCCAACCAGCGCCAAAACACTAACAAACCAACAAACAAAAAAACATTATTTAAACTTTAAATGAAAATCATGAAAATCCAATCCTTTAAATGAAAAAATAATAGTAAAAAAAAACGATCACCATTTTTTTAATTCAAAGGAAAATCTTTTTAGATTTAGAAGGATAGGTTTACAAATTTCTGACAGTCAAGCGTCCATATGAACATTGAAATTAGAGAGATTTTGAGTCTTCACTTTGGGTGTTGGACTTCAAACTTTATTGAGTCACCTGAGGATCAAACCAATGACTGTAAAACACCCGAAGAGTCCTCTAACACTTTGAGACATTATGTCAGAGACACTGGAGACATCATTTCTAAAAGCTAGTCAGTCTTTCTTTGAGTATTGGACTGTCTGATATGATAAGGATCAAACACACAACCTCTAAATGTCTCACCACTTTGATGTTGTGAGAGATTTTGAGTTTTCACTTTTAGTGTTGGACTTTAAAGTTCATTTAGTCACTGAGGAGTAAAACCAGGACCTCAAACCATTGGACAAGTCTTCCAACAATTTGAGAGACTGGGACAGAAAAAAAACAGTTCTTCTCTCTGAGAATTTCCGTCTTTCCTCAGAACATTGGCTTTTAAAATTAAATCTCTATCTCAGGATTGAACCACCTGGATCCTCTTGGACAAACCTCATTAGTGTTTTAGTTTGAACTGAATCAACTCAGTAGTCCTCAGATTTAAAGAAAGACAAAACACTGATACTCACAATGAGGCTTTTATTGTGAAAACATATGAAAATAAGGGTTAGAGTTAAAAAAAAAAAAAAGAGTAAAAGTCAGCAACATGTTTATCCTTTAATAACCGTAGCTTCCATCTTTAAAGGAAGATGAATTAATTTACAAGAATTATTTAGAGGAGTTTAAAAAATAAACTGATTTAATATATGAACCTGAAAACGTGTGTGTGAAAGAGACAGACATGTAGAAACTGAACTGACAGACTGATCTCTTTAACAGTGAGAGAGTTTCTCTAACAGGAGGAGACTCTCTGCTACAATCAACACAGAGAAATTGAGGAACTAGGCCAGAACCTAAACCCAAACCCAGGATAAAGAGGTTCAGTGAAGGTGGTGTTGAAGGTGTGGAGGTGGATCAATGAGTCAGAAGAGACTCTGTAGAAGGACAGAGTGCCAGCAGGATAGTCCACATACACTGCTACTCTGTCAGGGACAGAGGAGGAGGAGGGGATAGGTGTCACTCTGTTATTGTGCCAGACAGAGTACCCAAAAACATCAGAGCAGAACAGAGTCCAGGACTGCTCGTTCCATCCAAACTCCCCGTCTTTACTGTCTCCTTTCCTTCTGATTCCTCTGTAACTCACTGATATGTCAACCCTTCCTCTCCACTCGACCTCCCAGTAACAGCGACCATCCAGACCAGTTGTACACAGCAGCTGAGGCCAGTGGTCAAATCTGTCTGGATGATCAGGATATGACTGATCCTCCTCCACATATGTCACTGTCCTGTTGTTGCTGGACAGTTCGATCTTTGTGTGTACTGTGTTTGTGTCGAGTGTGAGTTCATAGGAATCTGATGGAGAGAACAAGACACAGCTGCAGTTATTGATTGATCATCTGATCAGTGATGTGACAGTTTGAGGATGGTTGAATGTACTGTTTTGTTTTCATGAATCAAATTAAAAACACACCTACACTTCCTCAGACCTGGTGTCAACCATCGGACTCCACCGGGCTCCACCCTGAAAGGGGGGGCCAGCATGTTCTCTTTCAGCATGCAGACATGACGTTACATGGCTCTCATACACAGACTGTATTATTACTGTGTTCAAAAGGAGGCTTGTATGTTTGGATGTACATTCACCACAAAAAGGAACTGGAGTCTTTATCATAATGACACACTGAAGTCATCATCAGGAGAAAACTCCTCTGTTGTTGTTGAAGTCAAAGCACTTGAAATCTGTCATCAGCTGTGACAAAGAAAATGTTTCAGCTCTTCCTCCTCTATCAGACAGTGTCTGTGGCTGCAGCAGGCCTTTACATACCTGAGAGTCTCTAGTCTCCCGTCTGGATCCTCCAGTTCAGCAGACAGAAGCTTCTTTCCTGAGTCTCCTGGATGATTGAAGCTCAGGTCCAGCTCTCTCAGATGGGAGGGATTGGAGCTCAGAGCGGAAGCCAGAGAAGCACAGCCTTCCTCTGTGACCAGACATCCTGACAGACTGAAGACACACAAAACAACACCGCCCAGAGTTCAGAACAGTTCAGAACAGAGTTCATATATCTTTAATATATGTCCATCATTTAAAATGAACAGTAACATGCTCTGACCTGAGAGTTTTCAGTGTACAGTGTGGACTCTCCAGTCCAGACGACAAAAGCTTCACTCCTGAATCCTGCAAGTTGTTGTTACTCAGGTCCAGGTCTCTCAGACTAGAGGACTGGGAGCTGAGGACTGAGGACAGAGCTTTACAACCTCTCTCTGAGAGGTTACAGCCACTCAGTCTGAAGAAATGATCATGTGGAATTAAAAAGGAAAGGAATTTATTTTCTCTCCCACTGAAAAGACAGAAGTGTCTGTATATAATGATGTATAAATCCAACTATCTATACACTTACAGAGCTTTGTTAGAGGCTTTGACCACTGGCAGCAGCTTCAGAAGAGCCTCCTCTGAAGCAGATTATTTCTTCAGGTCAAACTCGTCCAGATCTTTTTCTTATGACAGTAAGATGAAGACCAGAGCTGACCATTGAGCAGGAGAGAGTTTATCTGTGGGAAGACTTCCTGAACTCAAGGACTGTTGGATCTGCTCCACTAGAGAACAATCATTCAGTTCATTCAGACAGTGGAACAGGTTGATACTTTTCTCTACAGAGGGAGTCTCTTTAATCTTCTTCTTGATGTACTCAACTGTTTCCTGATTCGTCTGTGAACTACTTTCTGTCTGTGTCAGCGGACCTTGTAGGAGAGTCTGATTGTTCTGCAGTAAAAGACCCAGGAGGAAACGGAGGAACAAGTCAAGGTGTCCATTTGGACTCTGTACGGCCTTGTCCACAGCACTCTGGTAGAAGTTTTTCTCTGCAGATTCGTCTTGTCTTGGTTCAGACTTCTGGGAGGTCAATTGTTCTCCTGACAGCAGATTGAGTCCAGAGTTGATGAAGGTCAGATGGACATGAAGAGCAGCCAGAAACTCCTGAACACTCAGATGGACGAAGCAGAACACCTTGTCCTGGTAGAGCCCTCTCTCCTCTTTAAAGATCTGTGTGAACACTCCTGAGTACACTGAGGCTGCTCTGATATCGATGTCACACTCGGTCAGGTCTGATTCATAGAAGATCAGGTTTCCTTTCTGCAGCTGCTCAAAAGCCAGTTTGCCCAGAGACTCAATCATCTTCCTGTTCTCTGGACTCCAGTGTGGATCTGTCTCAGCTCCTTCGTCATACTTGACATTCTTCAGTTTTAGTTGAACCACCAGGAAGTGGATGTACAACTGAGTCAGGGTATTGGGCAGTTCTCCTCCCTCTCTGGTTTTCAACACATCCTCCAGAACTGTAGCAGTGATCCAGCAGAAGACTGGGATGTGGCACATGATGTGGAGGCTTCGTGATGTCTTGATGTGGGAGATTATCCTGCTGGCCTGATCCTCATCTCTGAATCTCTTCCTGAAGTACTCCTCCTTCTGTGGGTCAGTGAACCCTCTGACTTCTGTTACCATGTCAACACACTCAGGAGGGATCTGATTGGCTGCTGCGGGTCGTGTGGTTATCCAGAGGCAAGCGGAGGGAAGCAGTTTCCCCCTAATGAGGTTTATCAGCAGCACGTCCACTGAGGTGGGCTCTGTGACATCAGTCAGGATCTCAGTGTTGTGGAAGTCCAGAGGAGGTCGACACTCATCCAGACCATCAAAGATGAACACAACCTGGAACTGTTCAAACCTGCAGATTCCTGCTTCTTTGGTTTCAGTAAAGAAGTGATGAACAAGTTCCACCAAGCTCAACTTTTTCTCTTTCAGCACATTCAGTTCTCTGAAAGTGAATGGAAATGTGAACTGTATGTCCTGGTTGGCTTTGTCTTCAGCCCAGTCCAGAGTGAACTTCTGTGTTAAGACTGTTTTCCCAATGCCAGCCACTCCCTTTGTCATTACTTTTCTGATAGGTTCATCTCTTCCAGGTGAGGCTTTAAAAATGTCTTGGCATCTGATGGTTGTTTCTGGTCTGTCTGGTTTCCTGGATGCTGTTTCAATCTGTCTGATCTCATGTTCATCATTGACCTCTCCAGTCCCTCCCTCTGTGATGTAGAGCTCTGTGTAGATCTGATTCAGAAGGGTTGGGTTTCCTGCTTTCGCTATCCCCTCGAACACACACTGGAACTTCTTCTTGAGGTTAGATTTAAGGTTAAGCTGGCACATAGCAGGAGATCCTGAAAGAACAAATGACATTGTTGAGTATTCTCATATTTGAGAAACTAATGTGGGTGTATTGCATTGCCTCTATTACCCAGAGACTAAAATTGCTGCCTTTTTGTTTGTTTATAGAATAGGACCAACTGGATCAACATGTTAGACCAGTGAAATTTTTAGATTTTTGGTTGAAGTTTAAGAAAGTCACTGAAATATAAAACTCTTCTGAATATGAGGTCACACAC